GTGTGTGTGTGTGTGTATATATATATATATATATATATATATATATATATATATATATATATATTTAGTTCTCAAAACAATCCTAGGAGTTATCATCATCATCATCACCATCATTACCAACCCCATAGTACAGAAGAAGAAACTGAGGCCAGAAAAGCTAAGTGACTCCCCCAAGGTCACAGCTAGCTGCAGCAGAGGCAGGATTCACACCTGGGCTGTCCAGCACTATCACCTATGACCTGGAATGTTGAACTGCCCCTTCACTGGTGAGACGTTGTCGTGTAACTGTAGTGTTTTATATATTTAGATCATGAGGGACCCAAGACGCTAGGAATAGGCACAAATTCCATCCCATAATGGGACACTTGGGTGGAAACTGTGAATGCCCACCTCACCTTCCTCTTGAGTCCTCCAGCCCTCCCCCTCCTGCCAACTTTTCATGAATTTGTCCTGCATGTCTTACCCACATGGCTGTCCTCTACAAACTGTAAAGATTGATTGGAGCGTACTTTCACATCTTGTTTTCCAATTTTAAGGTTCCAACCTATTCGGTGGAGCTTCATTTACAAGCGAGGGCCCTGCACCGCCAGGGGAATGCAAATTTCGGGCACATGCTCTCCTTTGAAAACAAAACAGTGGGTCTCGTCCAAAGTCTCTCCCTCGAGGGCTGGCTTGGTCCGGCCCGGGCCCGGGCGGGCCCCGAGGGCGGTGTCCCGAGTCCACGGGAACCAAAGCCTCCGCCGCCCGCTTCCGACACGAGCAGCGCGCTCTCCGCGCTCCGGTGCAGAGCAGAGGGCGCCCGTCCCGGACCGGACTTAGGCGCGGGGTGGGGGGTGGGGGGTGGGGGGTGGGGAGTCGTTCCTCTTTGCGGGGGACGGGGGAATGGAGATGCTCGCTCTCCTTTCTTCTCATTTCTTCTCCTTTCTTTCCTCCCCGCGGGACCCCGCTGCTCGAGGTGTCCCCGGGGGCTGAGCGCCCGCCGCCGCCGCCGGTCCCCAGGCGCCGCCCGCACCCGCGCTCCTGACCAAACAAGGGCAGGACGGAGCGGCGGAGAGGAGACGGGGAGAGAGGAGCGGGTGTTTCAAAGGGATCGCGGGGTGCCGCGGCGGCGGGGCGTTGGAGGAGCCGGGAGGGGGCCGGGAGGGGGAGCGGGTGGCGGGGAGCGGGTGGAGGGCGGGGGCTCCGCCCGCCGTGGGGCGCCGGGCGCGTGCGCGGTGCGGCCCCGGCCCCGTGGCCGCCGCCCGCCGCCCAGTTCAGCGGAGCGGCCGCGGGCGCGGGGACCCGGGAGCCTCCGCACCCGCCGCACCTCCGGGGCTCGGGCGTCCGGGCGCCCGTCGAGCCGCCGCGCCCTGTGCCCCGCGCGCCGCCGCCCGCTGCCCGCGTCCGGCGCCGCCCGGGCTCGGCGCCAGGGACCCGCCAGGTAAGGAGCGGAGGGAGGGCGGCTGGCACCGGAGCCCGGCTATTTGCAGCCGCGCGCTCCCGGGCTAAATCGGGACGCGAAAGTTGGATGCCTGCTCCACCGGGAGCAACTTTGCGGGCGCCGGAGCCCCGCCTGCGCCTCGCTGGCCGCGCCCTCGCGGGGCCTTCCCGGTCCCTCGAAGCCGCTCTCCCCGCGGGGCTGGGCGCTTGGCCTCAGGACCCTCCAGTGTCCACTCGAGTTTGGGAGCGCCAGCGTCCCCGGGTGCCCGGGCCCCATCGGGTGCCCGTTCCCGCGCTCTGCCCCTGGCAGATCCTTGGGGAGCTCGGCCTCTGCTCTGCCCACCGGGCTCCCGGGGTTCCCTGACCCTGAACCCACTCCGGCTCCACCCCGGGTCCTGCACCCGGGCGGTGCGCTGGGTGGCGGCGGCCCGGGCGGGGCGGGTGCGGAGGAGCGCGCTGAGGGCGCATCGCTCCTGGCCCCGGAGCTGGGATCCAGGGGAACAGTGGACACTGACCTCCTTCTTTCAGGAACCAGGTGAGCCGGGGCCCCGGGGAGTGTGGATGACTCGGGAACCCGAGATCCTCGCCACCTCTACCATCCCACCTATTCCCATCCCTGTGCCCTCCTTAGCCGGGCTTTGGGAAGCCGGTTACTGGCCACACGAGTCACAGAAATTGCTAGTTTTCAGGAGTGAAAAGACTCTTAGGGACATAATGCCCTGTGGGAGATGTGCAAGGGTTCCGTTGGAATGACAAATGACAGAGTGGATTGAATAAGTAAACTAGCACGACTTTTGCTCATTGTTATCTTTTTCATTTTTGTAGTTTGGTGGAAGGTTGTTAGTTTCACCGTTTAGCTATTTAGCTTGCAAAACACCTTTTTGAAATCCGATAGATAAACAGGACTTTACTAGAACCAGTAATTTTAGGAATTAGACTCCTAGAACTAATGGAACTAAGAAGTTTTCTTAATTTAACCAAAATGAATCTGAAAGTTTACCATACTCATCTGCCTCATTAGACCCATTCATTCTCTGTATAAGGATAGTTCAGTGTAAACCGCTTAAATCCACTAATACAGATCAAAGGAAGCTGAAATCCGCAAGATCCTATCAATATTTATTGACAATAGGTAACTAGCATTTCAAAATAGACATACAGATGAATATAGAGACAAATAGTAGACAATGAATATATAAGTAAAATTATTTATAATATATAATGTTAATATCATACCATATAATAAATACACATAGATACTTAAATGTATGAACTGTGTGTATATATATCTCTAATAAGGTGTAGTGCATCAAAATATATTATGAGATGATCTCAACTTTTAAAAATTTGTATCGTTATTTCCCTGGTTCTTGGGTCAGGAGATTGTAGTTTTCCTGTCCTTTCTCTTGGACCAAACATTGGTACTTTTCGTACTGCAGTGAATTAGTTGGTAATACAAGTATAATGAAGTCAACGTGTGTGTGTAGGGGTGTGTGTGTTAATTAACTTATTATACAACTGTGTATTAGAGGCGAGGCACAGGCCATTAATTTGAAGAGGTTTGAGACCTCTAGTCCAGCTGCCTCTGTTCAAGGACTCTCACTCAACCTCAGGGAGGGTAGCCATTCTCCCGTCTTTACTGCTGAGGCTTGCTGAGGCTGGAAAGTGCTTTCTAACTGTGTTCCTCATTGTTTGTGCCCCATATAGCTTTCACCTCGGGCATTCTCTACGTAGATGAGTATGTCATTGACCCTGCCTCATGGAGAACATAGGGCAGTTAGAAGAACAAATAGGACAAAAGGAGTGAAAGCACATTCTAAGGCACAATGGAAATGGTAGTTGTTAGCTTACGTAATGCTAACACATAAGCCGACATAGACAGTAGCTTATGAGTGATACCACTCTCCCTTCTGCAGAAATTATGAGGTTGATACTGATTTGATTCCCAATGAAAGCAAACTTTGTATAGGTAGAGTTACTAAAATAATGATGTCCCCTATCCTAATAGGCTTCTGGTTTTATGGGTTCAAACATTTGGAAAGTAATTGAATTTTTGTCATTTCTTTTATTTTTTGCAGAAAATTAATACTAAGTCAACTATTTCTCTTGTATTTATGAGCTATTTCAGAATTATTTAGATGACTTGATCATTTCATTCAGTTTGTGAGTTTGTGTATATGTTCTCTAATCATCTTAAGAGATGTGGAATTCTTATACATTTGTCTAATAATATATTTTCAAAATGCCCAACCTGCACCAATTATTTTCCCATCTAAAACCTTTAATATGATGGGGGGGGAAATGAATGGAAAAATATGGTTAATTGCATAACTTTATTTGGAAAGAAATACATATTTTAAATTAAAGGTATTTTCAGTTCCCATTTGGAATTCTCTTGAAATAGAATAATTCACCTATTCTGTAAATCTACATAGTTTTTGTCAGGGACCAATTTGCATAATTAATAATAGAAAGTTGTTTAAATATCAGAGATGGAGGACAGGTAATATGGTCAGAAAGTAGTGCCACTTTGTTTAAAATACTTATTCTTTGAAATGTATTCACCACATATTTTAATATTAGATAGTTCAATGTATATTCATATCCTGCATATAAGTAAAATGGAAGTTTTCTACTTTTCAATTTGTAAGATGCAACCAACTAGGATTTTTATGGGAAAGGAAGTAGAGATTTAAGTTAAACACTGAAAGATGGAGTAAATGTTATATCTTTCTGTGTATACATAAATAATTATAGTAATGTATTCATTATGTACATATAGGTAATGTAGAATCTATGTATTATACAGTTACTTCACAACATAACAGTAGAGCCTTCTAAATATCCTAAGCCTTCATATTTAAAAATGAGGGCATTAGTTTTTTCAAAGTATTCAAAAAATAAGTTATTCCAGTTTTTGTTCCTGTTTTCAGATTTAGTTTACTATTGGAAATATTATGAAAGACTATACTAAATAACTTTTTAATTGCTGTAGTTTGTGCACATTGGTGATTATCTTTTAGACTAGCTAATTCCACCATCTCTTAACCATCATGTATGTGTATATACAAATATGTATATTACAGATATATATACATTTACACTAATAAAAGAGAAATATGCAAATTGACAATACCTCCATTATGCCCACCAGCCAATCTAGAGTGAGTATGCAAATTAACCCAACACAGATAACTGATTAATTTGCATACATAGGTGTGCAGAGGCCATGTGGGGTCAGACACCTGCTATAAGGGGGAGGGTGGGGGGAGTTGTGGAGGGAGCTACAGGAGTGGTGCTCCACCCAGAGCAGAGATGACTCAAGGCTCTGGCCGGAGTGAAGACAAACGTTAATTATAAAGTCAAATGAGGAATTATTGTCATCATTTAACAGATAAGGATTCAGTGTGTAATAGAGCTTGGATTGGGACCTGGATCTGTCCAATTCACAAGCACCAGAGAAGTCTATTTACCAACATTTGGTTCACAGAAATAATTTTGGTATAACATCTTTGGGGGTGATAAGTACAACCACCGTTTTTATTATTGTTCTATTGTTTGTTTTTACAGGAATTTTCAAGATGAATTATACTGAGTCCAGCCCATTGGCAGAATCACCTGCAATTGGTTTTACACCTAAGTTAGAAAGTATTATACCTGTGCCTTCCAATGACACCGCTTGTGAAAACTGGAGAGAAATACATCATCTGGTTTTTCATGTAGCAAATATTTTTTTTGCAATTGGGTTGGTTATTCCAACTACTCTCCACCTCCATATGATACTTCTTAGGGGGATGTTAGCTATAGGTAAGAAACCTAACTGAGATTTTACATAGCTTCTGTAACTGTCACCTAATGAGTTTTGCACTGGGAGTTTTAGAGAATTCCCTGTCAGGTTGATAGCATACCAAAAATATCTTTGTTATTGACTTAGCAGGGTATCAAGTAACTTAGACCATAGGCCTTTTTATAAGCCATACCCTTTTTAAAAATATATATTTTATTGATTTTTTTACAGAGAAAAAGCAAAAGGAATAGAGAGCTAGAAACATCGATGAGAGAGAAACATCGACCAGCTGCCTCCTGCACACCCCCTACTGGGGATGTGCCCCAACCAAAGTACATGCCCTTGACCGGAATTGAACCAGGGACCTTTCCGTCCACAGACCGATGCTCTATCCACTGAGCCAAACCGGTCTCGGCCATACCCTTATTTTAGATAATCACAAAGATGTGTTCATGTGTTCTTTTTAGATTTCCCAGATATCAGACAACCCATTCCTGTGTAAGATTGTGGATTTTGGAGCCAGATTTTATGCTTTGAATCCTGGTTCCAGCACTTGCTAACTGTATAACTGGAGCAAGTGATTTAACTTCTCTATACTTCATGAGTCTAGTAGGGTTAAAATACTAGTAATACCTCCTCCTATGGTTGTTGTGAGTGTGCGTGTCTGTGCGTGTGTACACACTTGACTTTCAGTAGTAAGTATTAGCTAGTCTTCAATATTATTATTTGAATAGGCATATACTTACTATGTTTATGTATGTAATGGGCAGAAGCAACATTAGGAACAAGAGCAATTACCCAGACACATAGTTTTAAATAAAAAAGTTTTAAATAAAACTTTTATGAGGGGCTCCAGAAGCAGATTGAATTGATTTACATCAAAATACTAAGACAATTAAATTTGTTTTTTGTAACCAGTGATTTTTTTTAGCATATTTTTATTGATTTTAGAGAGGAAGGGAGAGGGAGAAAGAGATAAAAACATCATTGATGAGAGAGAATCATTCATTAGCTGTCTTCTGCAGGCCCCACACTGGGGATTGAGCCCACAACTTAGGCATGTGCCCTTGAGTGGAATCAAACCTGGGACCCTTCAGTCTGCAGGCTGACACTTTATCCACTGAGCCAAACCGGCTAGGATTTAGCCAGTGATTTTTTTTATAATTATAATCACTCTCGTGGTTATTTTCCTAATGATTCATTTATTCAGGTGCATTTTTGAGCACCTGTAATTTGTCAGACAATAGATTGAAGGAGGCAGTCTCCCTTCTTGAGAAAGACATGCTTTGGGGGCCAGAGAATAGATGGGTGGCCACATGTGATGCAGGGGTGCCCAGTGCCAGGGAGAAATGGAGAGTGTGATAGGCTTAGCATGAAGGTGGAGCAAAGTTCTATTGAAGAAACCATGTAGGAGCTGGCTTTTGGAAGATGAGCAGGATTCTTTTGAGTGTGAGTGTGTGTGGTATCCGGGTAAAAGACACAGGGGATAAGGCATATTTAGAGAGAATGAACACTAGCTCATTGTGCCTCAAATATATGAAATATGGTATGGAGTGGCCAGTGAGCTAATATGGAAGAGTAGCTAACTTTCTCGTCTGTGTTACTGCTGAGTAAGATAGGGATTGCAGCAGGAGAGCAGAGTGTTGAATGGGAAAAACAAATAACATACCCTATAAAAATCAAAAGCAAAAAATAAATTTGAAGACAGACTTTTGGAGGTGGACTAAAGAGATAACTTAACACTTTATAAACAAAGGAACTGAGGCCTGGAGAAGTTAAATAACTCATCAAAACTAACGCTGGGAGATATGGCCTAACCAGGACTATAATTCAGGTCCCTCAGCTTCCCGGCCAGCCCTCCCATTAGGTTATCTTGTCTTATTTAAGTAATGGTTTACATTTTTCCAAATTTAGCTATGAAATACTTAAAGAACATTTAAAGTTTTACATTTCATGCTGCTATTTTGATGCCCATATTATTCTGATGAAAAAAAAATTATAAATGAATAATTTTTTAACATGGGAGGTTAGCTTTTATGTGTGTGTCATTGATATATTTGTATAATATTGGTTATTTTATTTTAAATAAAAAGATATATATTGATGATCTCACCAAAAAATTAATCAAAAGAAGCTATTGATATTTGATTTAAAGTAAGAGACTTGATAAGAAAAACTAGGAAGATTCTCAAAGGTGAATGGATAACTACCAAATGGTTAGAAGATATTCAGATGGGTAAAATAGTCAAACTCACCAGAAAGTATGCAAATGCAAAATATAACTGTACAAATTATACAAAATTCCTCACTATCAAACTAAGGGTTTTCAAATTTTATAATATTGATAGTTTGATACTCGCATTCCCAATTAATAGGATTATAAATTTAAAAAACCTTTGGAAAACAATTCTTCAATGTCATCAAAAGCTATGAAGCCCATTTCCTTGATTTACTATCAGGTAACCTACCCCTAAGCAAACAGTCACAAAATCAGATCAATTTTTACATATAAAGATGTTTTGGCTACTTATCAAAAATTACACTGCAAACAAATATTATCTGTCCATCAATAGGGAGATGGTTGAATAAATGATGGTCTAATCAGTTATAGTCATTAAAAAGTACATATGCTACCTTATCTCAAAAGGTTGCTATGATATTTAAATAAAATAAATATTTCTATAAAGATAATTCTAACTCCAAAGGACTAACCAAATACCAGCAATTATTTTCCTCTTGGAAAAATTCAGAGGACACTGTTTTGGTATTTTATTTGTTGTCCATAGGTTAGTGATAATAAACTTACAAAACAATCAGTAGCTTTCTGTAATCCAAACTGCTGCTTACACTAATATGAATTAACCAGAGGCCCAGTGCATGAAATTCATGCATGGGGGAGAGGGGTTCCTTAGCCTGGCCTGCACCCTCTTGCAATCCAGAACCACTGGCTTCTAACCCCTCTGCCTGCCTGCCTGATTGCCCCTAACCACTCGCCTGCCTGCCTGATCACCCATAACCCCTCTGCCTTGGCCCCCTGTTGCCAAGGCTTTATCCGGAAGGATGTCTGGAAGGTCGTTAGGCTGTTGGGTCTAATTAGCATATTATGCTTTTAATATAGATGAGTCTTGATAACACTTAGAATAGATTTATTTTGAATACTTTAATTATGTATCTTAAAAATAAAAATAATTTTAGTTTCGCCTGCCAAAAGAAAAACCACCTGCATACTCAGACTTCTAATATAATGGGGAAATTGCTGCAATAAGTAACAGAGTATGTTTTTAAGTTATATGTGGTAGTTCTGCCATCAGGTAACAATGCATAAACACTGTAAAGAAGTATTAAATAACAGATTCTAAAAAGTATTTTCTAACTTTACAAATTGTCTGCAGCAAAGCATGTTTTTCTTTTTGACATTCAGACCAAAAAAATGAACATACGATGTTTGGCTTAGCTATTTCTAGAATATGTTTGGTTTAGTTTATAATTTATTAAGCTTCGTGCTGAAGATGTCCTGAACATCTAACATGTAATTTTGTTATCCCACAGGATGCTCCTTTTACATCATGTGGGCCACACTCTACCGATGTGCCTTGGATATTGTGATCTGGAACTCAGTGTTCCTCGGTGTCAATATGTTGCATCTTTCATATCTTTTGTTCAAGAAAAGACCGGTAATTACTAAAAATTAATTAGCAAGGAAGAGATTTTTAAAACTTTTAGAGCACTTTGTTCAGACTTGAGAATAAGCATCTAACATCATTAGTCCCTTCAATATCATTCCGGATGAAACTTACTCTTTATATATGCCTGAAAGTGAAACATTTGGATACTATGAAATGTGTTCTACAGATTTTTTTTTTAACTTTTTAAATCATTAGGGCAGTGTAGACATGAGACAAATTGATAGTATTCTCTATTTTTTCTTCATCATATAACTTCATTATTTTTTTGTGTGTGTGTGTATTGATTCTGAAATGTTACTTGGGAATATCTTTGCCTATTTACAAAATTATAGGCAACTTCAATAAATATATTAGCGATTTATAAACACCTTATGCTATGTTTTTCTTGCTAATTTTAAAATATAATGACTATATTTTTCCTTATGCTCAAAATATTCATTTAAGGATATCACCATTTTTGGTGAGTTGTCATCAAAACACTAGGATTTTAACTTTTTTTAAATTCTGACTTATCTTGCTGTGTTTCCTTGGTTATACCAAGAACAAAAAGGTGTAGATAGAACCAGAAAACAGCAAGGCTCCTAGAATTCTCTCCATACTTGTTTACTGACTGTCCAAAGCACACGAAAATACGCAGTAAAATAAAAAATACAGTGCTTGCCCTTGCCCTGAGCTTATGCTCAAGGCCGGAGGTGTGTAGAAAACAAGACAATTTCAGGGAAATTACAAGTGATATATGCAATAGACATTCCATGAGATGATAGCCCAGCCTGTTTTCCCTAGTGCATTGCTTTTCTCTAGGTTATGCTGTATAATAAACAACCTGAACGTCTCAGCGATACACACCAGCCACAGGTTTTTTTTCTCTCCTTATATGTGGACTCTGGCAGCAATGTGTCAGCCGTGACTCTCTTCCTTGTGTCTTCTTCATTTCGGGGGTCTCTGCCAAAGCAGCAGATTCTGCTTGCACATGCATTCTCATAGCAGAGAGAGAAGTACAAGAGACCCAGTGTCTCTTAAAATTTCTGCTCCGAAGGGGTATATGTCAATTCTGTTCACATTTTATTGGCCATAGCAAGTGACACAGCCATGCCTGATAATGTGGGGGTAGGATGGGGTGAGGGAATGTATAATCCTCTTATAGGAGGTGGGAGCAGTAAATAATTGGGAATAATATTACCTACCACACTTATTGTTGTATTCCCTGTTCCTGTCAACCATGATTGGCACATAGTAGGTGCTCAAAAAAAAAACAAAAAACATTTGATGGCTGAATGCTTTCAAAGAGAAGAATTAAGAGGGCTTCATGGAGGAATTGGGACTTGGGATAAGACTTGCATATTATGAAGATGAGTCAATAGACTTCAGTTCATATGTTCATTACTGTGCTACTCCAGCTAGTGTACATACTGGAAGTGGGACATATATGTGAATAAGTTATTTTAAACACATTACTAGCACTCCAGAGAGGAGGAGAGAAATTATAGTAATAATGGGGATACAGTTTCTGAGTTTAAGAATTTGCTGGAACCCAAGTTTTGAACATAAGGTTCAGAAGTACTTGATGTGATGGCAGCTCCCAATGACTAAGTCACTTAGTATCTGTTCTTTTGTTTTTTCTCAGACTATAAGCCTACTTTTCTGAAAAATGTAAATGCTGGTTCTTCATTGCAATTAAACATCAGGACAAGTAGTCTTCTGGGTGTATAAGCTTCATAGTGTTGGGATGGATGATCACTTGAACCCCAGAGTTCATTGACATGCAGTCCAGTTTTCCCAGATGAATTCTGGGCCCAAAAATGGGTGTGACCTGGGCCTTGGTTGTCTCACAACAAAGACAATTCAGTCATTTTGCTTTTCTCTTCCTCCAGTAGCCAGTCTTGCTCACCAGTGGGTTCTCTATTCTACAGGTTTTATTTTAGCTTAGCATAAAACTGCTACACTGAAACCTTTTTTACACTTTTCACTTTGCTTCAGAATAAATAAATGAGAAGCAATGTTTGCAGCTGTGGGTGATTGTTTTCCTGTATCAATGCATTGAATGATAATTGCAGTAGATAAAAAACCTAATGTATGTATTTTCATAAATGTGTTTTTACATTGATTCCTATTTTTGTTTATTTTCTGCTAAATATCTCAAAGTTAGTATAATTTCTGTAAAACAGTATTGTTCTAAAAGTGAAAAGGTTTTGTGTTTATAGAAAATGCTAAAATTGGGAAGGTGAATGCTGTAATAACATTCACAACCTCCACAGTTGCTTTGTAGCAGCTGGGGAGAGGTGTGATCGATAGTGCAAATCTTCCCCATATGCTCTCTGCAAAAATGCCCTTTTAGCATCTAAACAGATATCATTACTTACCCACTGTGTGAGATTCCACTGACTGAAATGTGGAACAGTGAGGGTCTGCATTACAAATTTATTCTCAAAACAGTATCTGGACCACAGAAGCCACTGTTTTGACATTGCTGCATTAGTACAGCATCTGTCATGGCTGCATTTCAGGTCAAGATCGAAAAGGAACTCAACGGCGTATACCGGCGATTGTTTGAACCACTCCGAGTGCCTCCAGATTTGTTCAGAAGATTAACTGGACAGTTTTGTGTGATCCAAACCTTGACAAAGGGTCAGACATATGCTGCAGAGGATAAAACCTCAGTCGACGATCGTCTGAGTATTCTCCTGAAGGGAAGGTAAGTGATCTTCTCATGGCCCCTGGGTAGAGAGTGAATGGAAGGGGATATCTATATATATAAAAGCCTAATATTTGAAGTGTTGGATCACTCTTGGGAGTTGGATCACTCACTATGACATGTGCTGACCACAAGGGGATGACACGGAAGGAAGGAAGGCCCCAGGCGGCAGCCAACAGCTGGGGAAGGGAGATGGGGAAGGGAAACGCTAGCTGGCGAAGGGAGGTTCTGGCCAGCAGCCAGCAGCTGCTAGGGACCCTACCTGTGCACTAATTTCATGCACTGGGCCCCCAGTTGACAAATAATGGAGGAAGTGGTGGCAGACTTTGTTGATGGGGAACTTGCATTTCACGGCTGCGTTTTGGAACACTCAAGAGCAGCATGTTAGTTACCTGGAATTTGATGCTCTCAACCTTGCTGGTGTCAGGATTTTCAGTTGTGAACATTGTTCATCTTTTTTTACCTTTTACTTAAAGGTTAGTGAATCAAAATTGAAGTAGGTTTAAATTAGACATTAAAGTCCAAGAAACTTGTACATGTTTCAGAGGTGATTATTTTTTTAATATCACAAATATAACTTATAAGAATATCAGCCTTCTAGGAAGAGACTCATGTATATTGTTCTGGAATAATCATTAATATCACCCTTTCTCTCTCAAAAGTTCATGAGTCACTGTAGGTATAAGAGTGATGGTAGCCTTTGGAAGGCACCTATGTGGGTCAATGCTAGAACCTGTCTTCTTTTTCTTATTGTTGGTGAAATTTATTTTGAGGTAAATACTTGTCTTTGGGAAGTACTTTTAATTATGTCAGTCCTCTGGGGAGTCTTTAAAACTTTAGCGTAAAATTAAAATCCATAAGATTATGAAGATTTTAAGGATAGTCATGTTATTTTGTGAGATATTATGCATTTATTAACATTAATTTCTGTTATCAGAATGAAGGTCTCCTATCGAGGACATTTTCTGCATAACATTTACCCCTGTGCCTTTATAGATTCTCCTGAATTTAGATCAACTCAGATGCACAAAGGTGAAAAATTCCAGGTATGTTTTGGCATGGAGTTTTTTGAGGATATTTATTTACTTTATCAATTTATTTTAAGTTGAGGTATAGTTGACATATAACATTATATTGGTTCCAGGTGTACAACATAATGGTTCAATATTTGTATATATTGCAAAACAATACCCCAACAAGTCTCGTTCACATTTATCACCAATATCTTTTTTTGTGATGAGGATTTTTTAAAATCCAGCATTATTTTCAAGAAGACTGAAACTAGTTCATGTCTCATTAAAGTCCAAAGGATATATTACAGACATACAGTTTAGCTTTTTCGCAATGGTTTCAGCCATGCCCTGCTTCCACCCTGCCCAAGTAACTGGCCTGAGTAACTTGTTAAAGTGTTGTGCTCTCACTAGAAATCTTAAACATGTTCACTGACTGGTTGCAGTGCTGTCCCCATGCAGCTGAGCTTGAGCTACAGAAGAAAGCAAGTGCTTTATACCCGGGCTCCTTCAGTTTGCACTCTCGTCTTGTGTGTGCGAGACTCAGCTGTGCACTGAGATTTATGTTCATATTGTTATCTTCAGTCACCTCCTTTACAACTAGAACAGGGCCACTTCTTTCCTCTGACCTCCTTACAGTTTTTTCCAAAGCCCAACTTTTGTCCAGCGCATCCATTTCTCTGTGTCTAGTATAATAGCAAGTGCTTTTACACAATAGTTCAATCTTACAGGATCCTGAAAAGAGGGGGTTTGGAGAGAAGGTGGGAACTGATCCTTCTTCATTTCTAGAAGCAAATGGCCCCCTGCGAGGTCTGGGATATAACATGCATTATCATTTCTACTGAACTTCAAATTATTATATTTATAATTGACAAAATAAAGAACTCCTACTAGTAGTTACAGTTCTCTTTCTTCTTGGGGTCTGGAATTGGGATTTGGCAGTTGACAAATGTTCCTGATAATTGCTGTGAAGGCTCCAGAACATGACCCAAATAGAGGTACCACATAGCTGGGTGTAGGGTATAGGCATTCAGCCTTTCCAAACACCAGTAGGCTATTCTCTGCATAGAGTCTGGGGTAGCATTTCCTAACTGATTAATGAATGACAATTACTCGAGCATCATCCAACCTGTATCCTATACAGTTGGTTCAAGACTCCGTCAGAGTGAGCCCTCTGGAGAGATTGTGCACAAAATGTTCCCATTGGCAGTTTCTCAAGAGTAAAAATAGCTGTTGCACATCTGTGTAGGAGTACATCACCTCTTAATGAAGCAAGTTCCCAAGTGAAAAATGTCTCATGTTCCCACGGCCAGCGTCTTACTAATTGTGCCTATGGCAGAGGACACTTGAAATGGTCAGTGGTAACTATTCCACTCCATACTCTTTACCTGCCAACCTGACTTTTCTCTAACTCTGAACCGCTAGTTACAAGTATTCTAACAAGGAGCTACTTCCTTTATATGTTTGTTTCGGTTTGTTCTTTGGCAGTGGTCCTAATGAGTTATACAGTAGGATGAGAGGAAAGCAGGTGGACTTGCCTGTCTCTTGAGATTGCACAGCAAATGTTGTTCAGGGACGTGGGGTAACCGTAATGATAGACACAGTGGTAGAGTTGAGAAACAGATTCTGAACTTGCAGCTGCTCCAGACCAAAGTTCCTGTGAAACTGTTGTTTCTGGTTCTAACCCATTCGGCAACTCCCTCAGACACCCTTGTTCTTGTGTATCACCTTCTCACTGTGAGGTGTAGAGTGGCTTGGAGAAAGGTGAGGGGCTGACCCAGAACCTTGAGGAAATCACACTAAACCTGGCTGTGAATGCTTTAGTAGAACTCTACCTGGAAGAGATGATTCTGTGTCTTCTATTGCCATGTTAGCTTTTATTTCTTCAGTAAAATTCTTCACAAGAACTCAAGTAGGGCTCTGCTGAGGATACCTGACCACCTCAAGAAGTGACTTATTTTACAGAAGCTTTAAATATTTCAGTATTGATTTAGAAAAATCCCTCATTAAAGCGTGTTTTACTTGACTATTGTGACAGGAAATCATTAACTAGCCACTTCCAACTTAATACCTGCTCTTATAAGTCACTCATACTTACTGCAGTGATAGCTTATTATTCAAATACTATTATTAAGTTTAAATTTAATAACAATTTAAACATGTTTAAAGAGTTTCTTTAACTATCTGTAAGAAGTGGAATTGCTAAGCAAATTATAGTATCATATAAGCACCATTGCCTCCATGGAAATGGGGTTATTAAAATGGTTGGAAAGAAGTGAAATGATTTATCTATCACCAGATACTATTCTCTTGGATGATTTCCAACTCCCCTTTTTAACTCCTTGTCCCACTGTTCATGCATTATATTTTCCAAAGTCATGGATGACATCTTTGTAAAATGAAGGCACCTCAACTTGCCAAACTCTTTCTTCAGCACTTAGGTGCCTGGCTGGGCCACTGTGAGTACCTGGTGGTCACCTTTCTTTAATTATTCCTGCTGCTATAGCGTATTATCCAGTCACCTTGCATTTACATACCAATACCCTACTGTTTCTGAGAACTCCCAAGGACTGGCTTGACCTTATACTTCTCATCCTATAAATATTATCTTTTTTGGTCATACATCTTTACTTATTGGCTTCCTCCACTAGAATATCAAGTTTATGGCATGTGCTTAGCTGGTCTTTGTCTGAGGGACTTTCAGTGGACTGTGAGCCAATCTTATGGCCACTTGGCCAGATTACTTTCTATTTGGCCATTTGAAGAATATTGGTTGGGGGTGCGGGGGAGAATATTGGACAAGCTGGGTAGGGTTTGGCCTGGTGGGAAAATAGGCCTGGGCTGAAAGTCAGAAGTGTTCACTCCACCACTAGTTAACGTGTTCATGAATACGTTTTTTGCTGTTTCTCATTTGGTATCTGAAAAATAGGGGAGAATGTAACCTGTTTTATCTTTAAGGCAGTTATGAGGATACATTTATATGATAGATATAAATGCACCTTAAATGTTTAAAAGTACAATCTATATATATAAAAGCCTAAATGACCATTCTACCATTGGACTGATAGCTATGATGAGTACTGATCACCAAGGGGCAGACATTGCACCCACTAGGTTAGCTTGCTGCTGGGTCTGGCCAAATGGGACTGGGCATGACAGGTCAGACACATCCTGGAGCCTTCCTGCAGTCCCTCCCAGGCCCTGGATCGTGCATGGTGGGGTCCTCAGCCTGGCCTGTGTGCTCTTGCAATCTGGGACCCCTTGGGATGTTGGAGAGCCAGTTTTGGCCTGATCCCCGCAGGCCAGGCCAAGGGAATTCCAGTGCATGAATCCATACACCAGGCCTCTACCACATATATAAAATAAGTTACATTATATTTGACTGTCATTCCCTAGTCCTTCTCTACCGCTTTCCCCTGTTCTACATTTGTCAAATACTTACTGCCACCTAAGGGTGTCCTATTTTATTTACTATCAGCTTCCTTCACTAGCATGCAAGCTTCACAAGGTAAGAACTTGTCTTTCTTGTTCATCATTGTGAGCTCATTGCCTTGAACAGTGTCTGGAACTAAATACATGCATAATAATATATGTTGAAAGAATGAATGGATTTTAGTATTTTATGGAGTTACATAGCTGCTGACACATTTCTTAACTTCAATATATTTGGTTTTAGAGATTTCCACTTTTAAGATATTAAATAATTACAATTCCCCCTCCCACCGGGAGTATTGACCTATTTTTTAAATTAGCCAAACTCTTTGATTTGTAAAGATCAGATTTCAGCTTCTCTCCTGGGTTTTCCGTTGTCTCTCTTGTAGACATAAATAACCCTTTGTCTTCTGAAATAGGTTTAATTTTGTGACTAAGAGCTCCTGTGGACATATTTGCTGTGAGGTCCAGCTATTACTTCATATAAACAAGATTTTATTCATTTCCTACCTGGATAGGCCTGGGGTTTCATGTTGAGATAGAAAAATGGTTTCTGCCTTCAACAGTATTTATGTTCATTTGCTAATTGCTTCACATGTTAAACATGCACTGAGCACCACTCTGTGTTGGACACAGACATCCAGACATGGAGGTGCACTGTCATAGCGACCAGGAGAGACAGGTGTGTCAGGATTCAGGGTGGTGAGTGCACTAGCTGATGGAAGGGGACCTGCCTGGGAGGAAGAGCTTCCTGACACTAGCTTCCTTCACTCTGGAGAAAGGATTGATTTGAGGAATACTTGAACTCTCTGCAGTGCAGTTACAGTACTTTCCCACTTTTCTGGGTCATAAGACTTAAGGAAAGGGTATGGTTTCCCAGTGCTGATCTAACTGCGGGATCCCTGTGTGTCCCCAATGGGCTACATTGATTGGAGCTAGTCTTGAAGGGTCACACTCAGTAAATAGTATGACAGAAAGACCCGGAGAAGGTCCCTTGTTGGCCATATTTGTTAGTAATAGCCTAGGCACTAAAAATGATTCATGAGTCAATTTTCTCATCCTCTAATGTGTGTTTGCAGACTTAGCTAGTGTAACTTGGCCTCGTGAATCTTACTCAGTTTTTGTTTTGTTTTTTACTTGAAGTGTATTCTTCAACTTCTGTGGTAATCTTCATGGTGTAAGGAAATATTTAGCTATAAATTCTATATCCAACTGGAATGTAGAATTGAAGGGGGCCCTTGAAGGGGGCCATTCTTCTGTCCCCAGACCTCAAGAAACAATAAAACTTGGAGAATTTGCTTTTATTTAGTCTTAAGACTGCTTGGTTTTAAACATAATTTTATATATGGTTATAGAAGCTTATGTGTATGGATCTTATTTTAATTTAACTAATATGGTAAATCATTGCTATAATAATATCCACTAAATTATTTGACTCTTCCCCAAATTACTGTAGTCATAATTCATATATATAGATGTACTTTTTTTCTTTTGTGTTTCATTGTCAGGTCACCATTGTTGCAGATGATAACTGCAGATATTTATGCTGGTCAAGAGAAAGATTAACTTACTTCCTGGAATCCGAACCCTTCCTGTATGAAATATTTAGGTATCTTATAGGAAAAGACATTACAAATAAGCTCTACTCATTGAATGATCCCACCTTAAATGATAAAGTAAGTTTTTCTGGGTGTGTTTATTTTGTTAAGTAAATATGTACAATGAGGTATACCTCACTTAATACAACATATAGTTTCCTGAATTTCCATTAATTAGTCAAATGCTAAGTTAAGTGGGAATGCTTCCGGGACTCATTTCTCAAGAGTGAGGACATATTTTGTAACGATCACATTTGCCATTATGGAGTGCGGTGTCTCTAAATGTCAGAGGTCTCCAGGGATGGCGAGGAGGTGCTATCCTCTTCCTAAAGAGTCTGTGAAACAGTCTAAGGAAGGTGCCTAGTGAGTGGTGTGAGCGAGTGGGGGGCGAAGGTTAGGGGAGGGACAGAGCAGTGGGGAGATTCGTGAGCAATGCTGACGAACCCCAACGAGCAGAAAGCTGGCATTTTAACCCTGGGGCCTTGCAGTCCTGCACATCCTCCTGGTCAGCCTCCTTCCCCGGAAGCCCACACGTGACTAGAGAGGTACAGGATGGAGGCCTGCAGCAATTTAGTTCAGGATTTCAGAGCTATATAGATCTTCACCAATTTGCAATTTGATCTTCATTCCCCCAAGTTTATATAGAAGGAAATTAAAATGATCACAGAAGACAACTTGGAAAACATCGTTTCATGATAAGCACTGTTGTTCTTCAAGGGACTATGAGTTTAGCACTGTGCTCTCTTAAGTCATCTTGTCTATACTGTTTATCAAATTAGGTTGGTCCTTACTATTTTTTAAGATTAATAAATAGACTAATGAGTATATTAAATGTATTATCTATAGTAATATCCAGAAAATAAAAGTCATAGCTGACATTCATTGGGCACTTACTTTGTACCAGGTAGACTTTTTTTTTTTTTTTCCCAAGGAAAAGTAAATGCACTGATAGGGAATGCTATCTAAGTCCCATGGGTGTCAGAAATCTTGAAACTTTGCTTTCAGAAAGCCAAAAAGCTGGAGCACCAGCTCAGCCTCTGCACACAGATCTCCATGCTGGAGATGAGGAACAGCATCACCAGCTCCAGCGACAGTGAGGACGGCCTGCACCAGTTCCTCCGGGGCACCCCCAGCGCATCCTCGCTCCGTAAGTTAGCCCAGCACTGACACGTGTCGGGATTCCGAGGGATGGCCCTGGAAATAGACAAATGACGACAACTCTGACCAGAAAAATAACTTTTTGGCAGCCTAAAGGCATCATTAAAAATAATCAGTTCTTATTGATTACTTTGATAATATCAGCTAAAATCCAAATTCAGATCTCTTATTTCTGTTTCAGAACATGTTCACTGCTTTTGGCACCTGCTTTTTAAAATACTGGCTCACTGGAATAATGGGAAAGTGTCCTTATGGTTTGCTGGGTTTTTGGCTTTGTTGTTTTCATGATTTTAATCCTAGTGAAAGATCCAGCCATGTGTTAAAAATAGTAGCAAGCAACTGCAGGGTGTTTTGCTGCTGGCTGGTTATCTCAGTGTGCGGCCGGGTGATGGAATATCCCCGAAGATGAAGGAGGCCTCTCATTCACACACCACCAGGCAGTACGTTTTGCAAGATCTCTCCATAGTTTAGACTGTTTTAAGACATTTTAAGTACAACGGATGACACAGATGTTGAAGATGAGCAAGTAATGTAAGAGAAGCTAGATTGTTTTAAGGATCATATGCTTAAAATTATTTTATGCATTATTCCAAGAATGGTAGTAAAAGAACTTCAAACAAATTCATGTGAAATAGCAAAAAGACAATGTCTCCCGTTGTATAAACTAAAAACTATATTATTTCCAAGTGTATGTTAATCCAGAGTAACTTGTAGGTAACTATAGATAAACATTCGGCAAGCCTAAGTGTTTGTGTAAATGAGTAACGTTGGATGCTTTGGATAAATTGGATGAAGGATTTTAACTATAGTTTAAATGGACAAAGGATTGGCAAGGCCACGTAATTGGTGTAAGCTCCCAAAGCAAAGTCTAGGCATTGAAATACTTTGTGGACCTAAAGGAGCAACACAAATGAGAAATTGGAAACGATTGTATTTTATTCTAAAGTTACGTTTTGAAAGTCACTGTGGTTAATTAACCAAGACTGCAGCCTACTACGGTGTTTCCCCGAAAATAAGACATCCTCCGAAAATAAGACCTAATTACAGGTTTCCTTCTGAGTGAAATATAAGTCATCCCCCCTAAAATAAGGCCCCCTCCCCTAGGCTACACATGAGAGAATCGGTCCACTGATTCTGAAAGAAATGGAGTCACAAGAAATTCACCAGGAAATTCAGGAATTGGATTGTTATGATGATGTTCCAGAAGATGATGGACATGATTGTCATTGAATAAATGAGTAAATTCTTGATACTGTAGGATTCACAGTTTGTCTGGTTTGTGTTGACAACTACCATACTACCGTACCGTATACAGGTAATAAATTTCCTTTATTTTCATTTAACAAAAAATGTGTACCGTATTCTTCTTCATGGAAAAATAAGACATCCCCTGAAAATAAGACCTAGCGCATCTTTGGGAGCAAAAATTAATATAAGACACTGTCTTATTTTCGGGGAAACAGGGTAGCATGTCAGATGTCCTGAAACAGTTTGGTGCTCAATCAGCATTTTCAAATGGACCCATCTTAGTTACATGTGTAGTGATTAATTACTACGAAAGGTCAGCAGAAAGAGAATTATAGTTAAAAGTTATATGTGGATTATTTTTCCTGTAGAATAGCTTGTTTTTGTAGTTCTTACTTTTGTTTAGTTTCTATAGTCTTGCTTACGAAGCACCGAGAGCCAGTGGTATATAGCATGAGCATTTGTGGTCTTCAACTCAGCTTTCTTTTCTGTAGTATTTTATTGTATCATCTAAATATTTTGGGGATAAAAACATTTTAGGGGTTGAAGCTTACGTACAGTATATTGTTTAAATAGATTTAAAACATGTTGTCAAGATTACAATCTGTATTATACTCACCCCTGGAAACCTGTTTTCTGGTCTTGAGTGGATGGCTCACACAGGTGCATACAAACCTAGCTCTTGCTCTAATAATTATTAGCTGTGGGCCTTGTGGGAAGTCCCATGACCTTTCTAATCTGATGTGAGCTGTCATATTTGGTTACAACTCCTGCTCTGTATCCTCCCCTCTTCCCTGCAGTAAATCATGAGTGTAATCCAAGCACTCCTGCACGGCTAACTCAGGCTTCAGGGTCTGTGAAGAAGTGTGCTGCCCTTTAGAGCAGGGTCACATTTTCACTTCTCATTTCCTCGTTCCCTTGTCTAACTAGACTTTAGTACTTTGCTGTATGAGAAAAAAAGAAAAAAAGGAAGGAAGGAAGGAAGGAAGGAAGGAAGGAAGGAAGGAAGGAAGGAAGGAAGGAAAGAAATGAAATGTGTGCAACATGCTTACATTGTTTATTTAATTATTTAGCCTCAGATTTATTATGCAAGATCTCACATATTGATACCAATGCGTCCAGCTACCTATGCATCATATTTTTGAGTGTGTGTGTGTGTGTGTGTGTGTGTGTGTGTGAATTACACAGCATATCCTCGTTCTGAATTTCTTGGCTTCTCTCCTGCGGTTTTAATGAAAGACTTTGGGACTTGAGCACAACACTGACACAAATTATGAATTACTAATTCTATCACATAATTCCTTAGGAACTGGTTAGCTCCTGTGTCTCTTACATGTTATCTCAAAACTGCTGAAGGCTGTCGTTTTTCATTTGCCATTCCCATCAATATGCCCCTACATTTCCATTACAAATTACATTCCCTGTAAAACAGAGTGCAGAACCAACTTCCTAGGATTGCTAGACTAAAATAACAAAATTTATCCTATTTTGAGCATGTGATGGGTCTTAGTAAATGGTAGGTCCCTAAAACCAGTGACTAAGCTCTTATTATTTGAGTTTCTGATGTGCAAACGAACAGCCTGGTAGCTGCTGTCATGATGCTAAAGGAGAGGAGGGAACAAACATCAATTGACAGCAGCAGCTAGTGTTTTTCAGGTGCTCTCTGTACAAAACCACATGGGCTAGGCACTGGGCTCCTGCACAGAGGGAGGTGGATTGGTGTTTGCTAGATGATGAGGCACTCACAGGCAGTCCCCCGGTCTCCATGAGGAAGAGGCTGCTTTCTTGCTCACGTGCACATTGAGTGCTGCTCCAGGCCCGAGTCCAGCTCACGCTGGGATGTGAGAGGAGCAGTCACTGTTGGGGTCACTGCCACTCATGGCAGAGGGCAGACAGTGGGGCAGGATCATGTCATGGCTCTCCCAGCTCCGCCCCTTCCGCTCATGTTCTCTGGATCAGAGAAGTCATTTGGCCAGAACCATCAGTAGTGAATGGAATCTTGAATCCTCCTGCAGGAGGGAGGGAAAGCAGGCATTTTGACAATAACACGATCTATCACGGTGAGTATTGTTTCACTTCTCAGGTGAGGAAATGGGAACTATGAGATGTTTATTCGCCTCATTGGGGGTGCGGGGAGGTGCTGGATTGCAAACCTAGGTATCGTGTCTGATTCCAAAAGCCCATGCTGTTAAAACATATTGTCTCCGTGTGTTGAAAAGAAAGATGCGTATATCATTGGACTTGCCCTTTATAGTTTAAAGGTCACTTTCACCCCGTTCTTGCATTTGAACCTGCCAGCTCTTCAGGAGGCACAGCAGCCCAGGAAAAAGATGGTCACAGCAGCCCAGGAAAAAGATGGTCTCTGCCCGTTTATTCAGTAGCTCAGAATCCACTTAATTTAACTCTTCTTGCTTCCTGTACTGGTATTTCATAGGCTAGCACGGGAGCTTTGGCCAGACTTTTCAACCTTGGTTCATAGGAAGGCCAGAAGGGACAAGGCGCCCAGAACGTGTGAGAGGATTTCATGCATCGCGAGGATATGAGCTTGCTTTTCTCTGCTCCTGGACCAAGGTGCTCCTCAGTGCCCGGTCATCGTCTCTGCCTTATAGGATTTGCTCCCACAAGTAACGTGTAACCTCCACACACACACACACACACACACACACACACACACACAGATTGTCATTGGCACTTGTCTGATAACTGGTGATGAACATAGGCGTTGCCGTGGCAACATGAGGACATACTGTGTTTCCTTTAAAGTTGCAGAACTTTATTTTAGTTAATTTGGCTTAAATAATCTGTTGTTTGGCTTGCTGCTTGCTTGTTGTTGTTTTTTTAACCCTGAGGCAATATCGGCAGTATACTCCTGATGATGGAACTCAACTTTTAAAGGTTTAAACCGTCTATTCTCCCCCCCCCAGAATTATACTTAACATTTATGATTCTTTAAAAGACAACTATGAAATATTTAGAGAGATATCTCTTACTGACAAATAAAACCTTTTCTGGTGTTTTGTGTTAATGTCAAAATGGTGCCCAAATATGCCTTCAGTCAGGTTAGCTTGCATCCGGTGAGCATTCTTGGCCACAAACACTAGCAACGTATCTGACATAAGGACCTTCTCTCGGCTCTCTTACCTATTTATTTACCAGGAAAGATGCAAACAGCCAATTCTTCGTTTCAAGACTGGTTCCATGAACTAGTCTGGCCAACTCCATTTGCATTTGATTCCTCCTTCGAACAGCTGTCAACTTACAAACAACAGGCTTTCATGAGGACAGCTGGAGAGAGGTGATCAGGCGCAGGGACAGGGAGGAAGAGCCAGGAACAGGCCTCAGACTCACCATGCAGCACCCCCACCGCAGAGATGGAGCGCAGCTGAGGGCGGGTCACAGGCCTGGCCACGGCTCCTAGGCTATCTCCGAAACAAAGAAGTGCTGAAGCTCTTGCTTTGCTGTTTTCCTTACCAATACCCGACCCATATGTGAGAGTAAAGTTGTTTGGGGATTTGTACCCACTGCTGTGGCAGCTGACCACTTCCAAACATGTTCTCCTTCAGTCTTCACCTGTGCCCTGTGTTGCACTTTCCCCTTCTAGGGTAGAGGAATATGACCTTGCTCCTCTGGGTCTTTAGTCCCCAGCCAGCAGGGGCCTCCAGAACCGCACCCTCCCCAGTCCTTTACGTGGCCCGTCTGCTCACAGCATTTTCTCACCTGTAAGAGGACTACGAAGGGAATTTA